ACCCCTCATTCAGCTTATCTGATTTTCCAAGTAATTGTGTATAAGACGTTTCTCTGCCTCTTTGCCTATGCATCCTCATTGGTTCTCGTCTCAAGGCAACAACTATTTGTTCTCCAATCTGAATATCAATATCTGGTATGTGTGCAGTTATCGTAAGAGTATTATTGATTTTGAACACACAGATTTTGTTGAGTTTTCGTACCTTGAAGCATGTGTTCTGAACCTTGAGAGGTTACATTTCTGTCAGTGGAATTAACGACAGGTCCTGTAGTTTTGTTTTTGCGCACGACCCGGTTCTGCATTCGGTCTTAGCTGGAATTCGTCAGAGTATCTGGCATGTATCAACAGAGATCAATTCTTTCTACATTTTTCTGACAAATATTGCACTTAGCATTCTTAAAAATGTTGCGATTATTATTAAATTGTCATTATTATTATTGTCATTATTATTATTATTATTATTATTATTATTATTATTATTATTATTTTGGGGCAAGTTGTTGGATTTCCTTGAAATGTAATATAAGTAATCTTCCCGAGTATCAAAGGAAAAGAAAAACTCAGTTTCCCGCTTTCATTATCCTTGATCTGGACTCCTTTCTGCATAACTTATTGCAACTTATGATCCTCAAGCTTCTTAAAAAAAGTGACACTAAAATAGTTTAGTGTGCACGACGTAACGTCTTTCTCCGATTACAAACATATTCGATGTATTTTACTTCGCTTTTTAAAATGAGATATTTGAGTTCATCATAAAGGATGTTGATTAAAAAGAAAATAATTTCCTTTGGAAGAAGGAAGTTGCAATAATTGACTTCCTCCTACTTTCTTACTGGTAGAATACAACTAAAACATTCAAGAAAGTAAGAATCTTATTTCAAATGTTCAGAAGCCGTACTTACGCGTAAAATATACAATTCAAACTATTTAGTATGTAGAAAAAAAGAGTAAATTGGTAGGTAGAAAAAAAAGAGTGAGAACGAAGCTGATAAAACCCTGACAAACGCGGTAGAATAAATAAAGGTGACAATCTACCCTAGACACCGGAAATCAGTTAAAATCCATTCCGGCAAATAAACGGAACCGAGCAGTCGTATGTTGTTCCAAACACGACGTTGCTCCTTAACACCACGTCGTTGTCGCCGCGCGGTGAAGCAGCCGCAAACTGATAATGAAACTAGTATAATAGAACTGATAATGAAACTAGTGAAATATAATGAAACTAGTATGAATGATGTGTGAATGTAGAAAAAAAAATAAGTTACCAAACTAAATAAGATACATATTCTACGTAGAATATATTATAATCGTATTAAAAATGATTTTAGTGTAAAGTTAGTAATTGCCAAAGTGCACAGTTAAGGATAATTTAGGTCTGAGATTTGTAAGTTAGTTGTAAGTAAAGAGCCCGCCTGTAAGCTGCTAAGGCCACAAGGCAGCAGCGTAATAGAAAATTCATTGAAAATAAATCCCTTTCACAGGGAGATACTGTGGAGGGGACGAAAGGGGGAAACAAAAAAAGAAGCCGCAAACTCCTTGGTGTTTTTCCAACTTAAAAAAAATCCATCTGCGCGCTGGGCAAGGTCGCGGGGCGGCGGCCCCGCCTGCCCCTCCCACGCATCCAACGCCCCCCGGTGGCGAGCGCCCGCGCGCTCCCGCGGAGCCCTCTCCCCCCCGTGCGAGCGCGCCCGCGCCGCAAGCCGCTGTACGAGGGCGGCGAGGGGCGCGTTTCCGGCCGATCGTATTTATAGGCTGTCGCTCCTGCAGATGGAGAGGGCAAGATGAATGGCTGCCCCGCCCGCCGCGTCCGCCGCGGCCCACGTGGCCCGCGCCGCCCTCGCGCCGCCGCCACGGGCATCTGCGCTCCCGGCACCCGGCGCGCCGCCGCGCGCCGACGAGGGAGACGGGGCCGCCAGGGGCAACAAGGCCATAACGCGGCCACGGCGGAAGAAGAGAGTTAGCACTGTGCGGGAGGTACTCTACGGACGGTGGAAAGGTCACGGCGATGAGGGCGGTATCGAAAGCGGAAATAAAACAGATGTGATCGAAGGTTGATGAAGTGCAGCGGAGGAAATTGTAGGTGACGTTTTTTATTTATTTTTATTCACTGGGCAACCATACGGCTTTACACTTGTTGGTTTCAGAAAATAGCACATTATATTCAACATATATTCTATACCACTATTTGAGGTTAACCTTAATTGGGCTTCTGAATTTATCGTTATTTGTTAATTTTATGTAACATGTGCTGGGCTGTGTTAGAGAGGATTACATGGTAGGTGGAATTATTATTATATGCCGACATCATGGGGATATAGTTTCTTAATTCTTGAAAGCTTGCTAGTAAAATGGTCGTTAGGTTTGAAGTTGAAAGGAGATGTGGGAACATTTTACAGCAACTTATAAATTGATAAGTTGTTTTTTTTTTTTTTTTTTTTTTTATTTTCAGTCCCGGTCTGCCCACACAAACCCCGAAAGGAATAAAGACAAAGCGCAAGAGACGTGAACTTATAAATTTACCAAAGCTTCAATACTAATGAGGGTGGCAGATCTAGAGGCAAAGTAAACAGGACATGCGCATAAATAATCGTGACGTGAGAACTGTATTACAGCGAAGAGGCAATAACGAGGAACAATGGAAATTTTGGTGCATGTTACGACACAATGGGAAACCCTAGTGGAAATATCGATGGAAAGGAATGGTACAGCTGGTACAAACAAAATCTCTATGACGATTCCTAACAGGAAGCGATGACGGAAATATTACGAAAATAAATTGACGTTCTCAATTAGATCGTTCGGAAATTTAAGATGATTGCAAAAGCGTTAATACAATCTAATTAAACACGAGAGCAATGCTTTTTCCTTGGAGGTGTTGCGGGTAGAGAATTTAATACGAGCTGTGGATAAAGCGGGTGGAAGTGCAATAATAGAATAATAGATCAATGAGCCGAGTTGATAAAAGACACGCGAAGATACAATACGCCATAGTACCCCTCTCTGCATCGAGTAACGGCTCGCTGATAAAAGTTGTATTCACGTTTGTACAAGGTAGGCTAGACTAGTTTGGTTGCTAGGTATTGCAATAATGAGTAACAATTAAAAGATAACCTGCGGAGGTAGTGTTCTGTTCTCTACGCCTGAGGTAGTTTGCCTTGTAATGGGCAATATTTCTTATGGTAGATTATCTTGCAATTGCGGCATGCGTGCTATCAGACACAACACAGTCAATGTAACAAATTACCGGTGATAATGTTCGCTATCAAAGACAGCGTTTATGGTTGAACATTCATGCTATTCGTAAAAAGAATTAGTTTACAGAATTTTTAGAATTGAAATTTCGTGTGCGTTTTTTCTCTTTCTAGTGCCTACATCAAGATATTGTTTCGTAACTAAATGAATTAATTTAATGAAAGTTTATCAGTTCACGATGCACCGAGAACAAGAAGGCCTACGATGTTAAGGGACAACAGCTGAATCAAATCTTAGATATTGTAACTGATCAGCAAACAAAATACATTATTAAATTAATGACCACTATTAATTTATAAACGTATATATGGTATAATGTTACGTAGTATCACAAAATCAACGGGAAAGTGAACCAAGAGACCAACATTGTTAAGTGGGTCGTACGTAAATCCGTAAAAAAATAATATCACTTGCCGCTCTACAAAATAACCGTGATTCCTGAATGAAACAAAGTTATTATGAGAATAAGGTGGTGTATTATCGATGGCTCCAAAGATCCCAATTAGAGTAGAAATAGAGGACTTTAAACAGTAAATAAAACTTTCTCTAGGCTAGGGTATGGTTTCATTTATATGGTTTCATTAATTCTCAAAATTCACCGCATTGATCCCAAAGTAATAAGAGAAACACAAAAGCAATCGCAGAAAATTGGCGTGTGGGCTGTTTGTTGTTTCACAAGAGTGAATAGGGGCAATCTTCGACAGTCCAGTGAATTCGGATGATTACTGCTCCGAGATAATTTTTAAATATTTTGTTCAAAAGAAGGATGACAAAATTTAGTGTCATTTATTTTTGTAAAGCATTTAAACAACTCGAACATTTAAATAACTTTAAAGAACGAGAATGAGAAGAGAGTAATACTAATAACTGATGGACTCTGATCAATAAGAACATCTGATTTAACTGCACCGGATTATTTCTTATAGGATTCGACAAAATCTGTTATGTACGCAAAACCGCTTCAAAAAGATAAACTTGAAATAAATGTCATTAATTACGCGTATGAAATAATAAAAGCTAGTAAAATTTTTCCACAATTTAAATGTTGGTTGATATATCGTTAAACAAGTTAAAGAAGCACTTCAACAACTAGGCATGGCTTTAACATTATTGTCACAAGCGGCAGCTTGTGCTATATCAACATTATTTCTTTTGCTAGCCCTCTCCCCTCAACGGTAGCACTGCGGAGAGATTTCTGTGGCATTTTGAGTAAGCTGGGTATAGTGCGAATCGAAAAAGTGATGTTCATTTCTCCTATTAAGATTTAAATAATAATTTAAAGTCGGCATAATTATTTTTGCTCCTTCCATTACTTCATTTATTAGCGTAAGTTATTTGCCAAATATTCCTTTGTTTCATTTTTTCTCAGCCGCAGATTACGCAAAGAACATCAATATCAAAAGCGATAACGACTGAAGTACGAAACGAGGGCGGGGGCGGTTGTGATGTTAGAAACTCAAGGGAGGGAGGAGTTTGAAATGGAGGCGGATGCGCCGTCGAAGACGGCAGCGAAGGCCCAATGAGGGAGGACCCCGATTGAGGCAGCGTGGTCAAGGCAACGGCGGCGGCACGGGCGGGGGACGGGGGCGGGGGCGGAACGCGTCAGCTGCTGCGGGCGCGGGCGAACGGCGCGCGGGCGCGGGAGGGGGAGGGGGAAAGAGAGAAAAGGGTAGCGGAAGCGGCGGCGGCGGCGGCGGCGGCGAATCGCGTCCCGCGCCGCGCCGCGTGTTTCGGCACCGCAGTCGCTTCCGGGCCCAGGACGCGTGCGGTGCGGTGCGGTGCGGAGCGGAGCGAACCAGGCGAGGCGACCAGCTGGCGGGCGAGGGGTGACGGAGCACGTGGTCGCGCAGGCAGAGAGCAGAGCGGCGCGGACGGCTGGGACGCGGAGGCGCGGACGGAGACGCGAGGTGAGTCGGCGCAAGCAACGCGCCCTTGGACCACACGTTTGACCATGACCTTTTTTTCTTTCTTTTTACTTTTTTTTAAACGATTTTAGTTTTATCAAGTTCAGTGATTTAAGAATAAAAAAATCAATTCTGAATTCATATTACACGCTAATTCAATACCAGAATGAAAAAAATTTATTATATATTGAAATTTGTTAGGGCGATTTGAATTAATTTATAATTATGTATGAGCGTATATTACCGTGTATATACAAATATGCAAGTTGCGTACAACTAAATAAAATAGTAACTGTCCAAGTGACATTTTTCCCAATTCATGTTTTTCACTGGAAATGAGATAATGAAGACTAGGGTGAGATAATGAGAGAGTTAATGAAAACTTAAATTTCGGTTTTTCCTCGTTAATGTTTACACTATACCATTGTGAAAGTGCGAATAAAAGAAGCCACCAATACAAGGGGATAGAATCACGCGTCGTTTCACGCACCGTCTGAATAAATCAGTGAATTCTTAGAAAGCTCAAGCACGGAAGTAAAATCGAAATGTAATTGCAAAACCCAAACAAATTTCGAGTCCCGACGGTGGGTATGTACACACTAGCTTGTAGACAAGTGCTGTCTGGAGGAAAATTCTAGAGGCCGGCTGCTCTGATCGCGTTTTCTGTGGTTTCTTCGCTGAATACCAGACGAATGCCGGAATAGTAAAAACGAACCACGGACCGCGAAATTTTTTCTTCCTCCTACTTGTTCCATCCTCTCACCTTACTCTCACACATACGTACATTCATCCTACCTCATATATCGGGAGCTTAATGCTTGTCCCTTTAGAGCGGTGCGGGAGAAACTTAGAGAGGAAAATCCTCTGCACGATGTCGTGTCGGTCGGTGCCAAAACTCGCGGGGGAGGAACACCGCCACGTTCCTGGATAAAAACATCGTAAAACACTAAGGGGACTAACACAGCAGCTGACGTGCCCGAAAATTTCAATCACTATCTCAAAATATCATTTTTCAAACAACATTTTTTGCTTGAAGGATTTTGCTCGTGGATAACGATTCCAACATTTAGATGATTTTTCGACGAAGAATTTTAGGATGAACGCTTATATTTCACAATAATGGGGTTGTAGACGTACATAATTAAGTTTTGATGTACATGATTAATGTTTTATCTGAGCCAAATTGTATTCTAATGTAATGTGTAATGCATTTTGAATATAAATACACATGTACAACTCTTTAGTTTGCAACTTATAATCAGCATCATCATCGTAGATGGTCTGATTGGTGTGTTCGTGCACGTCAGCTGCTTTGCTCTTTAAAGCCGATAGTTGTAGTGAGTGTATGTACCTGAGAGATGGGGATGTCCCTCCCCCACTGGATGGTGAGATCTGGCGCCTACCCGCACGTCGGCTTGCCGAAGATTTCGCCTCCAGGTATCTCCCCCAACCGGGGCACCGCTTCTACTGCGACAAGCTCTGAGCTCTTGAATGCCCTTCCGACGTGTATTGTTCATGTAATTGTGTGGGCGAGTGAGGAGAGAGGATAGAAGAAAGAAGGGAAAGGAAAGGTCGTGCGTGGATCGTGGCCTTAATCGTGTCACTGTTATTATTATTATTATTATTATTATTATTATTATTATTATTATTATTATTATTATTAATAATAATAATAATAACAATAATAATTAACTTTCATCGTAAAATATCAAATATATTTAAAGTGTGTGACATGGACGTGTATTTGACTTTTACAACCAAATCCAAATGATTTTTACTATTAAGAACCTGTAGCTACCACAAATTTCTTGATTTCAGTCACACACATCGTATAAACACAGACACGATCGCGAAAGAGGCCGAACTGATGAACACTATGGGCTAACATTACGAAACACGAAATGTTGCATACCCGTCATGTAACCACTGAACATGTGAGTTACATAACATGTAGCTTACAGCTGACCCTTCTTTACTCTCTAATTCGTTACTGATGTTAAACTTTTGACGATCGTTTCACTTAGCCAGAAGTACCTTAGTTCTTTGAAGTCTAAAGGTAGTTTCAAGTTTAATGGAGATATGCTGATCAACAAGAACGAATGTGTATTTCAGGAGTAACTGCGTTGCAAAATTTGTGTTTGTGTGTTCACCGTAGTGTTATTACTACTGAAAAAATTAATTGCGAGTGAGAATTGGTTTTGCTGAGCTGGTGAATTGGGGGTGATAAAATACGCTTTCCATTCAAAAAACAATTCGCATGGATTATATATGTAGGCCTAGTAAGAAAGGACGAATCCAGCCTATCTTTTGGGGGAGGGGGCATTATATATTTTTGTTAAATAATAAACGTATTTATTATTATATTGTTTATGTACTGTCGATATGATACTATACAATATTATTGTTTAAATAATTACATAATTCGAACATAAATGAATAGTTAATATTAGTAATTATAGTTAAATCAGTTTTGCCAAATAAAGGAAAGTAAACGAAAACTTTAGACCTTTGAAGGGGGCGGCATGATCCCCACTCCCCTGGATCAACCAGTGCTACTATGAGTCGTCACATGTTGTTATGTCATGTGTATTAATAGTGTACATTATTTTGAAATGTACAGAAAATATTAAATCTACAATAATATAACGCAATATATTAATTGAATTCTATTGTTTTGGTTTTTATTACATCCGTAATTTAATATCATATTTTGCATAATTAAAAGAAAATACCTTAGCTATCTTCCCCGTAGTATTATTTTATAAACCAGTTTAATTAAGAGAAAATAATCAGGAGACGCAAAACAATATAAATTTATAATTTTATTCAATTTATTCATTTGAACAATATCATTTAAAAACGTTAGTATCTTCATGATATTTTAAATATTAACAGTAATATTGTTATAATAATATTGTGGATGTGGTATCTATCACGTAGAAGTTTCTATTGGGGATGTCCCTGTTCTCTCCGCGATAATCAGCAGACCCTCTCTGTCTCCTGCAGTGGCGTAGTTAGGGGGCAGGAGTGGCGGTCCGCCCCAGGTGATACCAATTCGAAAATTTTATAGTTGGAATTATATAATCTTAATGACTGAATCCAGACTTTCGCATTTGACACTTTCGTTAATAGATAGAGGTATTGCAGTAAGCATAGATTTTGAAGATATTATAGGTATGGCTTCCGCCCCTATATCTCAAAACGTGTTTTTATAAAATAAACATGCACTTGTTAATTAGTTATACGTCATGTTAAATTGTTTATTTAAAAATTGAAGACTTGAAATAAAAAAAATGCAAGTGCCAAGTGTTAAATTTACGTTTTAGCTAGAATAATAATTAATTAATCAAGCCATATAACATAAATAAAACCAAAATCCAGTCGCGTTTCTTGGTAGTGTTATGGAGTGATTATAAATGGCAAGAGATGTATGTGCCATTAGATTTAATGTTTAATAAACTAATTTTTCTTCAATAACTTTTTTATTTCAAGTCTTCAGTTATATTTCAAATATTCTAAATTACAAATAGTTTTTTAAATATCTTTAATAAATAATATCACGTGCAAATGTGGTTGTATTTTCATTACTGTATAAACTATTCAGTAAAAGATATTTTTGTATTTAATTTACGGGTGGGGTGATCCATTAGTTCTTCCCCGGGTGACACCAATTGTAGCTTCGCCACTGGTCCCCTGCATCCGAAGGGCCAGCCGGTCGGCGGCGCTTGGCGCCGAGGGGCTCATGGACAGCGGCGGCCCTCCGCGCTCGGCGTCCGGCGCCGCTCCGGGCCGGGCTGGGGGGGGGGGGGCGCCAGGTGCGCTGGCAGACGTCTGGCGGCTGCTTCTCTGCCTTTGACGCCGCCTACTGTTGCAACCGTCATAGGATTCTCCATCGTTCTAGTGCGTCGCTCTTCCTCTCCACCGCCGTCACCATTGCCATCTTCGCCATACCCCTCGTGACACACCACGGCCAACGTAACTACTATTACCGACACTCCAGGACTGTCGCTGCTGCTGCCATAGGGAAAAGTGGCCGCTACAAACATGACTGTATAGTACGGGTATGTCGGATAATTCCTGTTGAGAGACGCGCTTCATTCTGCGCACAGGCGAAGAATGAGGCACCCAAACCGGTGGATTTTGATTGATTAGTGGTTCCGGGCGCGTCAAATGCTAAGGCCAATAGTATTTGGATGCTGATTCCATCCCCTGCGTTATGGAGACCGACAATATTCTTCCTGCTACACTATCTTCTATTGATTCTGATACGAACATGTTTATAGTCCGGTAAGAATATTAATTTTCGTCTGAATTTAAATATTTGGAAATAGTGATCATTTATTTAAACATCTTTTACTTTACATCAAAATAAAAGAACAGTACTGGAAATATCCAAATGAGACTAGGGCCTTCGTTACCTCTGCCACTGTCGCCACTACCAGCATTGCTACAACTCATTCCTACTGTCTCCGTGCACCATCCGAACTGCAGTTATTTTCGAAATAATTTCTCAAGGATAAGATTCATTCTTAATGGAGACATTGATGTCGACCCGAGGAACACATCGGGGAAATCATGAGAAATATATATTGCATAGTATAAACATACTTTACAAAAATATATAAACAATTGCACGGTAATAAATAAAATGGATGCGATCATGCTAAGATGACAAAGATTTACCAACCAAAACATCCGATGAGTGATTCTGAAGAACGTTCGATGAGCAATAATGGCAAAATGTGCTCTTAAAACAGCGTTGTATTCTGCCAAACGAAAACGCTAGACGTTCCTTGGGTATTGCTGTGGTTCCAAAACCACACGTTAACGTACACATAAAAGCCTGGAGTTTGCGAACTTCCATGGTTACGTGTTATATTTACGTCCACGTTCGCGTGAACGTTCCGTTTGCAGGGAGGTTTCATCAAATAACGCAGAGGCGTATGTATGGAATAGTAGACATGACACGTGCCACGAGCGCCTCTCACAAGGGGGCTCTATTT